TGTGTCTGGGGACAAAGAGCAGAGCCCTCCTGGAAAAGAGGGCAGAGGATGAGGTCAAGTTCAACCTGGGGAATAGTTGTGAAATCACAGGGAAGTGTGACATGAGCTGCCTAAGTGTGATAATTGCTGCCCAAACACCCTGGCTTCGGCAATAAGGTGTTCAGTCTGTATAAGTGCGGAATCGGCTTCACTATATGCAAGTGTCCACAGCACAAGTTTATTGTGATTCTGTAGCCCACACAGATGAGGGCTGAGTCTTCCCAGCAAACCGACAGCAAGGGAGAGTCCTTCCCACCTCCAGGCCAAGAATGAGCTCTCTCCACCAGCTGAGGGCTGGGTTCAGGTAGGCATGAGGTCTCTGCAGGTTCATCAGAACAAGCAGACAGCATTCCCCTAGCACACCTGCATTTGCAGTGACTGCCTTCCTAAGCTCCCCTTCCCAGTGCAGACCAGCATAGGCTGCAAAGAGTCCTCCTTCTCTGAGCCAGGTCCTCTGTGATGCCAGAGAACCATGGAAGGTAAGGGTCAGTCCTGGACTCCGGACAAGACAGAGTCTGCATCACAGAGAGGTTTTGTGACATCCACTTTAGGATAAAATTACAGAAGGGGGGCCTAACTTGTAGAATGAAGCTTTTGCTTCACTTAGTAGAGTGATGCCAGCCGAAAACTCAGCTATTTTTACTGCCTAAGTGAGTGTTAGATCTGCCATCGAGAACAGTCATAGGACAAGGGCTTCGGTAGTCCTGAGAGCCACAACCTGTCCTCACAGGGACAGGTCTCAGCCACGTCTCAGAGGTGAGAAGGCTGGGATCTTATCAGGAGAGCCCCTCCTTGCTTACAAAGCTCTTCCTGCTCTGGGTCACCTCTCCCTTCTACCATACCACTGTCTCCAGAAGACAAAATAAAAACGCCTCAGACAGTGCACACGTCCCTCAGTCTGTTTGTAGAGAAGTCATGCATGGCGGTGACGGTGGGGGTTGTGGTAGTCATGATCAATTCGAATTTGTGTGGAACTTTGGCATGAAAGCCTCTCTATCTTCTGCAATGTCTGCAGCTGAAGCAAGCCTCCTTCCCCATCCCCACTGTATCACGCAGGGGTGGAAGTTTAGAAAGGCGGCTGGCTTGGCGGAGGTCAGAGTCAGAGGGGTGTGAGATGTACATACTGCTGCTCTGACTCCCCGTCCAGGGGTCTCTGCATAAAGAGGGGGCAGACAGGATGCAGTGTGAGAAAGAGCAGACATGGAATGAGGAAATGATTCATTCTCTCCATTGACAGTCACTCCTTCAAGCTCCCTTGACTCATCACTGCTGCCAGAAGATGCCTCATCATGAGCAGTGACAACCAGAGCTACTTCTGGGACCCCCCAAAGGACTTCATTCTCCTGGGCATTTCGGACAGGCCATGGCTGGAGCTTCCGCTCTTTGTAGTTCTCCTGGTGTCTTATGTTCTGGCCATGCTGGGAAACATCTCCATCATCACCGTGTCCCAGCTGGATCCCCAGCTTCAGAGCCCCATGTATATTTTCCTTAGCCACCTCTCCTTCCTGGACCTCTGCTACACCACCACCACCGTCCCTCAGATGCTGGTCAACATGGGCAGTTCCCAGAAGACCATCAGTTATGGTGGCTGCACCGTGCAGTACACCATTTTCCACTGGCTGGGCGGCACTGAGTGCATTCTCCTGGCCGCCATGGCTCTGGACCGCTACGTGGCCATCTGTGAGCCGCTCCGGTATGCCATTATCATGCACCGCCTGCTCTGCCAGCAGCTGGTGGCGATGGCCTGGCTCAGCGGTTTTGGCAACTCCCTTGTTCAGGTCATCCTGACAGTGCAGCTGCCTTTCTGTGGGCAGCAGGTGCTGAACAACTTCTTCTGTGAGGTGCCAGCCATGATCAAGCTGTCCTGTGCTGATACCACAGTGAATGATGTCACTCTGGCTGGGCTGGTGTCCTTCTTTGTGCTGGTCCCTCTGGCCCTCATCCTTCTCTCCTATGGCTTCATTGCTCGGGCAGTGCTGAGGATCCAGTCCTCCAGGGGACGACACAAGGCCTTTGGGACCTGTTCTTCCCATTTGCTGGTGGTTTCCCTTTTCTACCTACCTGCCATCTATATGTACCTGCAGCCCCCATCCAGTTACTCTCAAGAACAAGGCAAGTTTATCTCCCTCTTCTACTCCATAGTCACCCCCACCCTCAACCCTTTCATCTATACCTTGAGGAATAAGGACGTGAAGGGGGCTCTCAGAAGACTCCTGGCAAGGATTGGGAGGCTGTGTGGACGGTGAAGGTCTAACCTGGGAAGAGCTGCATAAATCATAGAAGGCTGAGAAAGGACTCTGGGAGGTGGGGGTATACTTCAGTGGTACAGCCCTTGCTTGGCATGTGAGAGGCCCTGAGTTCAACTCCCAGGACTGTGGAAAATGCTTAGAACTGTAAGTTCTTTGAGAAATTTGAAAGCTTAAAAAAAATCCATCTCAAAATACTTCACTTTCTATGTGGTGATGATGCTTAAGCATCTAAGAGGTAGGTTGTCAAAGCACAATCCTAAGAAGACATATAGCTTTAAGAATCAATTGTGTAAATGACTTGATGCTCACCAGTAGGTGTGAGACTACTGGATTCTTCATCTCCTAGTTCTTTCCTTTTTCCCCCCTCTTCCTATATTTCCTCTATCTTTTCCTATTTATCTCTTTTTAAGCCTTTCTCTTCCTTAGCAGTCACTCCAGATGTGCACAATATGAGCCTGATGCACAGTCTTATCCATGATAAACATCTGTTCTTCGTGGACTGAAATCTCAATAGATGTATGTCTTCCCAATATGTCACAGGAACTATGTGACTGCACTCTTCTTTTGTTACCATAGATGATTTTCTTCTTCCTGGGTTCAAACAGCCTTCATAGAAAGTTTTCCCACCACTGACTGAGAGCTACTGTAAATCTTTCTGCTGTGGGGCTAGAAGAGTAGGATACATTGGTGGAAACAGATACACCTAACCTCTCACCTTACAGACGGGCATGTTCCCAGGAGAATATGGCAAAAATCATGGTCAACGTTAAGGACAATAAAGTATCACATAAAAATTTAAGAGTTTAGCTTGAGATGCCTAGCTTAGTCATAGAGCTGGTGCCTAGCCTGGTCCTGGCTTTGCTCCCCAGAAGCACACACAAAAATTTTGAACGTGATTATTATAACATTTATAGAAGGTGTCCTCGATGTCGGTTGATACACTGAGCGTCCTTAATACCAATCTGTATGATACTGACCCTCATGATATGATCTCCTTTGCAATTCCCCTTTTCCTATAAGAATCAATTATTAAAGTGGTAGTAATTGCTCCAGCTGTTATAGAGTTCTGGTAGCCAGGGAAACTCAGATTCTCAGAAACATCCCACTGGCTGCCTATAACTATCCTACAAGCACCTATGAGGTGCTTGAAATGGAGCTATGGCAAGCACTTTATATTTATTTGCATTTGGTTTTCTTTCTTTTTATTAAACCATTCTTGAAGATTGTATTTGATTTTAAATTATGTGTATATATGGGGAGAGGGGTGTGTATGTGTGCATGCAGTTGCTCACAGAGGCCAGAAGAGGGCATCAGATTCACTAGCTCTGGAATTGAAGTCCTCTGCAAGGGCAGCAGCAGTCTTAGC